GGTGTTCGGTGTTTGTTCATCGAGAAAAAGGAGCACAGGATCTTGGATGTTGTACGTCTCAGTGGACAAGCTGTATATTTAATATGAAATAAACATATCTACACATCATAAACTTTACATTAAATATTTACAAATGTTTCATGATTATCTGCATATGCATGAAACTCATATATTAGACCCCTTTTTTTTCCATTTTTTTAGTTTTTCTTTTTTTTTATTTTTTGTCAATTTGAAGTTCTTTCAATTTTTTATATTTTTTAGGGAGATTACATATAGACCACCCGAAACTTTTTATTTACAAATCAACCACCATCCTCTTTCAACAATTTTCAAATTCTCGCTCAAATATCACATTTTCATGGTGAAACCCAAATCCATATTTTGCATTTTTATCAAATTCTCAATAGTTTGATTGTGCCACCGGTAAATACATAGGTTCGGTAGTTCAAGGTAGTTCAAAAAAATCACCTAGGTGATCATATTAGGATGGTTAATTTGAAAATATCAATATTAGGGTGGTTTGTACACAATTATCCCCTTTTTTTTTTGCAAATTCCTAATTTTGGTATTAGAGATATTAATGATCATCTTCTGCTCTTTCTACACACATGTTGATCATATTAGGATGGTTAATTTGAAAATATCAATATTAGGGTGGTTTGTATGAAATTATCCCCTTTTTTTTGCAAATTGTTAATTTTGGTATTAGAGATATTAATGATTATCTTCTGCTCTTTCTATACACATGTTGATCATATTTTTTTTATATTTACATGCTTCCTATAAGAGGAAGTTATATTGAGGAGAATAACTTGTGTAATATCACTAGGATATGAATTTATTGCAAACTTTTTTACTAATGCAAATATAAGGTAGAATTATTATGTTGTGGATTATATACGAAGTTGGATATATGCATGTATTTAAGGAAGTAGATATCCTTCAAATAACGAATGAAGAGGTGCATATATTTACATTTTTATTAATTGGCCACTTTGATAAAATATCAAACAGTCGTCATTAAACTAAGATTTTTGACCCACGAGCTTGTGTTTTTCATGTATGGCTCAATAGTTGATGATAACAAATTTCGTCCAACGCTATCTAACTTTGCAAAAAATTTCAATAGATGGTCCTTACAGAACCAAACTATATAAATAATTAAATTGTGCACCCAACTTACTTGAAGAAATTGTAACTTGTGAAAATGCCAGAATGTTCAATTCAACGTGGTCAAGAATGCAATGTAAGAAAAATCAAAGGTTTAGTAATATAATGTGTGTTTAAGTATTTTTAATTGAAAGTGGATTCACGATTAACCAAAAACACAAGAATAATGAACACAAAGATAAAATAAAGTTATTTTAGGCTAATTACTTTAAAATATATTTTAGATATATTACAAAAATTTCTCACAATCAGTTTGGATTTATGTCGGGCAGGTCTACTATGGAAGCTATACATTTATTGAGAGATTTGATGGAGAAGTACAATAAAGAGGATCTACATATGATTTTTATTGATTTAGAAAAGGTTCCAAGATACACTTTGGAGAGTTCTAGAGAAGAAAGGTGTTGACATGACTTATATTCACGTCATTAAAGATATGTATACTAGAGCTATTACTTGTGTTCAAACAGAAGGATGATTGACCAAATATTTTCCTATTTCCGTTGGATTAACTCAGGGATCGGCTTTAAGCCCATATCCTTTTGCTTTAGTTATGGATGCTCTTACTGGACATTTACAAGAAGATGTACCCTGGTGTATGCTTTTCATTGATGATATCCTTCTTGTGGATAAGCTTGAAGTATGGGGCTCTACATTGGAGTCTAAAGGTCTTCGTTTAAGTAGAACTAAAACTGAATACATGGAATGTAATTTTATTAGTAGAAGCTCCACTGACAATTGTAACTTGGGTGATCAAATTATTAAAAGGCGTGAACGCTTTAGATATCTCGGGTCTATTTTTCTAACTGATGGTGATATAGATGGTGATGATATTAGTAGAATTCAAGTCGGTTAATCAAAGTGAAGAAATGTTTCAGGCCTATTGTGTGATAGAAAAGTACCACTTAGACTGAAAGGAAAATTTTATAAGTTGGTGAAAAGACTTGCAATGATCTATGGCGCAGAATGTTGGCCTTTTAAAAAAAGCATGAAATTAAGTTAAGTATTGCCGAGAAGAGAATGCTTAGGTGCTTGAGTGGCTTTACACTTAGAGACAAAATGTGAAATGAATATATTATATCCGTGATAGATAGAGTTGGTGTAGCTCCTGTGGCGAACAAAATTAGAGATAGTCATTTTAGATGGTTTGGTCACATTAAACGTTGATCATCTCATGATCTAGTTAGGAGAGTAGAGGTTTTAGAATCAACTTATGTTAAGGAAGGCAAAGGTTGACCTAGAAAGACTTGGGAATATTGTATAAGAAATGATCTTAATTTATTAGAATTAAATATAAATATGACATTCAACAGGACACGATGGAGAAAAAGGATTCATGTAGCCGACCCCATTTAGTGGAATCAAGGCTTCTTGTTGTCATTGTTGTTCTTATACTTAGTGTGATGTTCAATTTACTTGGTTTATTTTCAATTTATTGATTATGCAACATTTATTTTATTAATTATATAATTAATGATAAAATGCGTAATAAACTCATGTTTGATTTGGTAAAATTAATTTCTTATATTTTTACTAAATTTTTAATTTATGTTAATTATGTGTTAGAAATATTTTTTGGTGATTACACAACACTTAAATGTATTGAAAATTAATTTATATTCCAGTAGGTGTATCGAGTTACTTTGTTGTAAAATCACATCTAATATATTATACTTAACATAGAAATTCATTAAGTTATATCATATTATATGAAATTTATTATTCCCTTTAACAACAAGTATCCTCAAAGACTCCTTCAAATTTCCCAATAGATCTAACATATCTAGAAAGTTTCTATAAACTTAACTATTGGACGATTTTTCTGAAGTGCTCTATCACTATTCTCATATATGTATGCCTCTAAGATGAGAGAAAAAATGGTGAATTGATGAATTAAATTGAGAAATACTTTTGAGGTAACTTTGAAGAGAAAATAATGTGAAATCCAAATCAATCCAGAAACATTACTTTGACTTGTAAATTTCAAGTGTTTATCTGTGAAAGTATAAAAGATTGTTTTCCTATTTTTATTTGGACTTTGAAAAGGATTTTAATCTAGTATTAGAGATTAATTTAGTATTAATCTGGTACGATGTAAATATCAAATTTTGGGTGTTAAATAAATAAATACATAAGAAGTGTGAGATATGATGTAAATCTTTGAAAGATCAAATAGTGATTAGAACTTCCTAACCAAGATTAAGGCATATTAAACTATTTATACTGCTGATTAGAGTTTGCAGGAAAAGTTTCCCAAGCTTAGCAAAATAAATAGGGTGCTTGACCAATTAAATATAATTAATAATTTTAATGAAAAAAGAATTAATAGGCTAATTTCATGTTTATTGGATTACAAATATGACAGTTGGTGTTTATTCTTAATGCGTGCTAGAAAATTTGCAGCAGTGAAGGATTATCATCTTAGTTGCACAAGAGTTCAGATAAAAGAAAACAACCAGTAGTGACACCAGAAATTTTTACATGAAGAATTCAGAAAAGAAAAAAACCACGGGGGCCTAGCCCTGCTGAAGAAATTCACTATAAATTGGATATTACATGTACAGTCCATCGTCCCACAGGCAGGAAAGGGTTAAACTCTCTTCGGAGTTACAATGTCAGTGCAAGAATGAACTTGTTGTAAGAAGTGGGCGGAGGCCAATTGCGATTGGTGGAGGTCGGCAGGTGGTTAGCATTGGTCGGCGAATGTCGGTGGCAGTAGGAGTAATGCTGGATTTCAGCTCATTCTTAAGCTTCAAGTTCCTTCTCAAGCCACAAGCTCTCCTCCCCTCCATGAGAGGGGTGAGGTTTTATTTATAGTGTTTCGGGTGCAATTAATGCAGGAATATGAACTACTTTGATCGAACGGTTTGAAGAGCATCATTCGATCAGGCGGCGTATGATGGATATTTGAGTGTCTTAACGATGTCAGAATTGAGCAATATTGGGCTCGTGGATTCGTGTTGTAGAGACACACAATTCGACTATAGGCTTGCTAGATTCGGCATTTGTTCGACCTTGTAAATACATCTGAAAATCTTCCAAGGGTGCTTTAATGACTTGAACTGAGCTTGATTTGACTCGAATTAGACTAATATTGATATCATTGGGTCCGTCTCATCAAGCCAGCCAATTTGATTATAAGTTTGTTGAAACCGGAGCTCTGGATGATTATTAATTGAAGTTTGAATGTTTCTTGCACAAAAGATTGCCTCGAGATTCGTATCGGATGATAAAAATTTGTTGGAGTATCAATTCTTTTAGAATATGAAATTTGACTAGGAATGAATAACAAATATTATTAAGAATACTGCCTCAGAAAATTTAGAAATGGATAAGAAATGAATCAAAAATATTATTAAGAATACGGTCTCCGAAAATTTGGAAATGAATCCAACATACAACTAAGCGGCAAGCTCTATCCTATTTAAAGACACTTAGTTAACCAAAACAACCATTGACATAACTGAATGACGGGAATGATAAGTACGATAGCTAATTTGAGGTGCTCAAACTGCCTTGAAAAACTTGACCCCTTTTATACAGCAATAATTAAACATTAAAGAAATAACACTAGTTTTTCCTATGAACAAGAAAGCATCCAATCATAATCGGCCAATTATGAGCATGTTGAACAAAAAGAAAACCAAGATGATCAAATAGAACTTTAAAGCTCATTCTATATAACTTTGAAAATTTCAAAAATCAACATTCTGATGAATATCACTTTGTGAGGCTTAGACAAGAAGATTTCAATTACCAAGCCAAGAATTCAATAAAACAAAAAAGAAGGCAATTAAATAAATGTCCAGACAACATTCAGATGGCCAAACCTCTCCAGCAGGAACCACAAAAAGGATGACTGCAGGCTGCTGCAGACATTTCATCCCGTGGATAGCTTTCGAAACAAATTCCACAAGTCAACTGTCACCAAAATTGCATTTTTTTTATTAGAATTTGTAATCGAAAACAAAAATAAATTTGATAGAAAATGATGTAAACAGATAAAATTAAACAATAATTCATCCTAAATAGCAGCGCTAAAGGCCTAAGCACTTACTTCTTTAGTGCAAGGCATTTCCACTGGCCTTTCCAACAAGCCAACAGCCTTCCGAACATTTTCCTCATTCGCAAACCATTCATCGTGCACCTTACTGACACTCCTGCACTCAATAACATAGGAATAACATAAAGAAACAATAACATAAAGAAACAAAAGGTAAAAAAAAAAAAAAATAGGAAAAAGTTTTTTCGACTAGCTCTCTACTATAATAGATATATGATTAGATATGCAAAAGCCTTCTAATAAAGCCACTTTTAAATATGATCAATTAAATTAATGATTCACTCATGAACTCATTCATGCATTCGATAACAATACACAGTTCAATGCCTTAAAACCTACAAGCACAATAAGCAAAGAAAATGATGCGGGATGATTCAGGATTACGGTTTCAGAATGCAGCCAAAATAATGTGATAGTGTTTTTGTAACTCATGCGAGAAAAAATAAGATTCCCAGATCATTCAATGCTGAAAAAGTCGACTGCCTTTTTTTCTTTAAGTATGAATGATACATAAAAGAGCTAAAACCCGAGTAATAATGTCATTGTTGAATAAATATAAGAAAATCGCTAAGAAATTTTAGAATTTTAAATCCGCAAGCAATTATAACTTCATTACAACAAATTGATTCCAAGCAAATCAAATTTGAAAAAAATGAGAAGCACTAGCAATTCAATCACAAAATAAATCAGGTCAAATATAAAATTAACTAATGTAAGCTTATGCCTCAAGCTAATACAAGAAGATACCTATCACGAAATTAGATAGTTACACTTCTACCACACTCAAAAAAACTCATTCGGTTAACTTCAGTTAACTTGCACACGCACACAACAAAAAATTTGAATATGTTTATTCAATCAAAGCTCATAATTTACATGCCCCGGATCATCTTCATAGACTCACAAACCCTGGGATTGTGGATATAGTTGGCATGAAATCAAATGAATCTGATTCCAAATATCCACCAAGTTCACATTTAAAAACCATTGACAAATTAGTAATGTAAACAGCCACATAAAAAATCTATTGTAAACAGTACCCATGTTAGCAAGGGTGAACCCAAAAAACAAAAAAAAAAATCAAAAAAGCTTGGCAATGCTATAGTAGCAAAACCTTGAGAAGAACGATCATAATAGCAACCAACAGAAGACAATACGAATGGGCATAACAATACCCAATAGAAGCAGATAGTCTCATAACCTGTATCAGAAATTCAATAACCTGGTAAGATGATTATGAATTTATTCTTTCATTGATCAATCAGAAAATCAGTAGGCCTCGCCATTTATGTTCTTTTGAAATCCAGCTATGTAAGAAAATAGGCATGGAAAGTTAAAGATAAGCCCAATTTGGTACCCTAATCTGATTAAATTGCTAAATCACAAATGGCATTCAAGAACTTAAAATCGCTAAACCTAATGGCTAATTTATAATGATCATCATGAAACAATGAGAAAGTTCTTTAATCTCAAGACGGAGTGCATCTGCAACAAAGCATTTCGATGAATTTACTTTGATCGCAAGTCTATCAATTTGATGTCATGACAAGGAGCTATAAAGAAAAAATAAGTTTTATGATCTACAAAGTTGTAGCTCAGCAAAGTTCAAATCTTTTTATCTTACAAGAAGAAATTGAAATAAGACTTTTCTAATTTGAATCTTGAAAAGAGGAAAAACTAAAAAGAGGAGCGCTAATTGCGGTGAATCAAAATCTTAGAAGGCAATTTAAAGGTCACAAAGGAGCACGCTGGGAAAGTGAAAATGTCAAGCACATGAAAGAAGATTGTCCCCAAAAGTTGAATGAGAAAAAAGAGCAGGTGAACGTTATTACTCACAAGAGAGAATTATGATACACTAATCTTTACTGCTGATAGTCTGAATCCTAAATGATGGACTCAAGTTTGTCTTTGGTTAGTGATAAACCCTCAAGTATTATGGGCATTTTTTATGCTCAAATCAATTGTTAATGAAACTACAGGAATCTTCAGAATGAAGGAAATTTCCAAGCTTGCAAAAGGAATCTAAAATATATAAGCCAATTTGATGAAAATTAACCTATTTTTACCTTCAACACTAAAATGTGAAAGTTAACCAACAGAGATAATGTTAAAAGCATGTGATAGAAAAGATGACAAATTGTATATGACTTCCAAGTGTCAAAATAGTGTGAGAAACAATGAATTCAGATAGTGATCCTTTCAAAACGAGCTTTCAAATTTGAAGCCTTTGGATTCAAATTTTTTTGAGGATTACGTCTATAAAAAATAAAGAAGTTGCCTGTCTCTCAAAAGATGAAGGCAACTAGAAAATGAGAAATTTGATATTACTCAAATTAAGTTCTTTAGATCATATAACAGAGGTGAATACAACAAGGAATTTTTTTCGGTAGCAGAAAATGAAGATCGTGCCAGGAATATTGCACCAAAATGAGTGCATAAGAAAAACTTAAAAGAGTAAAAAAACCTAAAGCACAACATTACATGAAGGATTGGGTGAGATTTCCAAAGTAATTGTAAGCACATTTATCTCATCAAAAGCCCTCAATTCCCATCTATTATAATTGATCTGAAGAAGTGCGGACTGGCAAGGGGCTAAACCTTTCCCATTTAAAAACTATTGGTTGTTTCTCTATGGATTCAACTGATAAAAGAAAATATAACACAATTATACTAACTCGTATTTAATTTATATAGCGTTGATGCTCTGAGGACAAGTCAACATTGGAATAATCAAAATCAAATGGTCGTCATGATAAAAAATGATACCATCATGTACAAGGACAGGTCAACCAATGGCGAAAAGCACCTTACAGGTTAACAACAAAAGATTTCTGGAGATGGTGTGTCAAACGATGTTTTAGTGATTCCTCCGAATAATGAGACACCAAAAAGAGCTGAGTATATTGTTGACCTCATTTTTTGTGAGGTCTCTTCTTCTTCTTAAAGCTTAGGGTCTAGACTTAGAACTTCCTACTGGACTCTCTTAGAGGACTAGTCTGGGACCCGCACCAACTAGAAATATGAGCCACTTCTTGACTCCTTGCAGTTTCATATGGGCAGTTTTAAATCATCAACGTTTGGTTGAGTCGATTAAACTAACGTAAAGAAACTCAAGTTGAGCAGCTATAGGATCTAAATCCTTAAGAAACCCATTGTGACTTCCGCGCACACTCACGATGCGCGTATACTACAATTCACGTGCTCGATGCACATAAATATCAAAATTCACGTCATCTACACTGTAGAAGGAGGAAATTTGAATTTGAAGCGTTTTCGACCCGGGCATCGCTGAGGTTGTCCGGATGACCCCAGAGAACAAAATTGACTGCTCCAGCGCGTCCAGTGCGTTGATTTTAGCTAGGAAGAACATTCGCATCACTATTATCCCCGACACGCTTGTATGAAACAAAAATCAGTGCATTTAATATATATATATATATATATATATGAACAACTAACCCTACTTAGCCTAAACACACGCACGCCACGGCTTCTTCTTCCTCTCCCTCCCAGTCTTCTTCTTCTTCAGGTATAAAATCTCATGAGGGCGGGGCGTGTAGGGGGTTATGAAGTTTTGGATCTGGGAGGAGGTTCTGCAGCAATTTCTGCTAGGTTAGGCTTGGAGCTTGTGGGCTTGGTAACTGGGAGTTCTGTGGTTTTCATTTTTTCTTTCAAAAGGCTCGAGCTTCTTTCCTTTCTGCTCTTCCTTTCTACTCGACAGACGCTGAATAAGCCCAAGGGAATAAAAAAAATCTTGAGCAAGATTTTACTTCAAAAATAATATACTTGATTACCTTGCCTGGATTTTCCTTTTGAAATTATTATCAATTGCTATGAATGATTAGGCATTTAGCATGTTTGTTGAGCCTGATTTAGTTACCTCATTTTTTTCTTTGTTGAGGGTGTTAGACTTGTAAATGGCAATGTTTCAAGTGCTATGCATGTGAAGATATATTTCTTTTGTTCTTATTACAGTTGTACGTTTATGCCATCCACCTTCTATAGTTTATGTGAACTTCAAATGTTGTTTCAGCCCTATATACTTGGTATTCTCTTTCTGCTCTTCCTTGGATTTTTCATACATTTCCTACGGTTTTATTGGAGACTTTGTAGATCACTCGTGATTTTCTTCGGGTTTTCCTCGTATTTCTAATGGTTTTCTTCGAGTTACTGTGGGTCATTTTGTAGCTTTCCTTGAGTTGTCCGAGTGATGTTTTGCTAATCACTTCTATTTATATAAATGCATGCTTACCCATCTGTTAAATGTTTTTCACTATACTCATTTATTTTTACCTGTGACACCGACCCCATTCACAGAAGCAGCAGACCCGCCAAGTACACAAGTTTATTTTATATTTACTGTATTTTATTTCCTGTACTGCACATTATACTACCTTTCTTTATTGTTTTCCTTTACCGCACTTTAATGCATATACATATAGCCCGTGCTTGCGGTATTACTGTTTATTGTTTACTGCGCTTCGCAGCATGTTTCCGTTTTATTATTCATGTTACTTCTAGCATGTTACTTCTACAGACTTGCAGGGATCTTTAGGATAGAGGACAGTAGGACACCCGATTTAGGAGACAACCTATGACGAGCCACTGACCTAACTGTATATATGCACACACCAAAACCCTGAACCTATGACTGATATTAAGGAATTTGGAGTATCCTTTCCAGGAAGCAGAATGAGGAAGTGGGCGGACGGAGGGCGACAATCGAGGCCACAACACTGAAGCGAAGGACGAGCTTCAGTTGGAATTTTCATAGAATAAACAACAAACCCTTAGGACTTCGAGGTAGTCCGCTTAGTGCGACAAAAATCCTCACTTCTGTTTAGGCCTTTGCACAAGTCTATTGTGAATTATAAGTCTTAATTTTCTTTAGGATTCTGAGGTCGTCATTCGGTAAGATGTAAATCCTTTTATCTTCCTAGGTCATTTGCATGATTGGGTATCGTGTGAGTGTAAGTCCTAAATAATAAAACTGACTGGATGAAACATCAAATAGCATCTCTTCAAAATTATAGTTGGAAAGTCGTCGGTGTTCCCCCTCGGATTTGTGACAGCCCCTACCCTTCACCCCTTTGGCTCCTGAAAATAATTGTTCATATTTTGAGCTCTTCCTTTTTGATTTTCTTATATTTTATTTTGGAAACTTAAACTTTGAAATCTTGAAGACAGAACCACTTATCATAATCGACGGTCTTCTTAAGTGATTTCGGTCATTTAAGATGTAATTAACTATAGGGGTTTGCCATAGGGGTTTGCCTACTATAGGGGTTTGCCTCTATAGGAAACTTAAGAACTCAACTTAATATAAACCCTATTTAATCTTTCATATTAAATAGAACAAATTGTCGACATATAAATAAAAAGATGGGGTTTCGCAAACCAAACGGACGTCACAGCAAACCAAACGGACGTCACAAACGGACGTCACAAACTCTTTAGTTTAAGTGGTTAAGCCTACTAACAAATGGTATGTTTATCATTCGGGATAGTACACTACTTGTGGTATCGTGCTCAACCATCTGGACCATCAAATATGTGAGGTTCATTCGACGGTCCCGTATTAAATAGGAGAACTTGTCGGCATATAAATAAAGTCTCCGTATTAAATAGGGAAACTTGTCGGCATATAAATAAAAACATGGGGTTCCGCAAACCAAACGGACGTCACAAACTCTTTAGTTTAGGTGGTTAAGCCTACTAACAAATGGTATGTTTATCCTTAGGGATAGTATCGTGCTTAACCATTTGGACCGTCGAATATGTGAGGTCCATTCGGTCTCACTTTTCTAAATTAAAATATTATTATTTTCCATAGTTATAGTCATATATAAATTAAAATGAAACCTTATTTTTTGAAGTTACACACACACACACACACACACACAATTAAATTAAATTAAATCATAAATAAAGAATCCGCAACATTATTGGCCGACATATACCTTTAACACTGTTATGATCTGAAAGAATAATAAAGTATATAGATAGATACTCCACATCCATCCATTACTTATTTAAAATTGATGCTATTAACCTAAACATTAAAAGCCTGTTAAGTAAACCTACCAAAATCTAAAAGAGCACTGTTTTTTTTTTGTCCTTTTCTACAACAGTATTGTTAAACAAATGAATTTTCAGGATCAAAGAGCATACTTACGATAATAGATTCAAAACTAAGGTTGTGCTAAATACAACTGATAACCAGTTTGACAAGCTAATAAATTTGCTTTGAAACGCCATAGTAAACCTCAATAGATGATCAAGAGGTGGTGCAGCATAAACTCAAATGCCCTTCAAGATAGTGCATTGTGAACCCACAACTACACGTGGAAGATTGTTATTTTGTGGAATCTAAACTTCATCAACAGACAAGGCATTCAACTTAAAAGCTTTCAAAATTTTGACAATATAAGAGATATCTCACTTTTGAGGTTTATTACAGGTTTCAATTGTTTGTGACAATTTTTGCTAAAATTAAGTATATTAAATCTCAGAAAGTTTGAAATCAAAACCATATAAATTTAAAACAAATTTGGTATCACAAAATACTTCGATCGCCATTAAGCATTTATAAATTATGAAGCAATTAAAGGATGGGTTTATGGTATTCAAATCTTTTGTGAAGCAATTGACAACAGAAACCATTAACTATATATACTCAATTTCTATGAAAGATGCCACCTATTTGGTTTCTGGGAGGAGGTAGATGGTGAATTATCGGCAGCTAGGTAGAGTTCTTTACAACAAGCAAAAAAGGAGGATGGGTATATTCTAAGATCAGCTATCTTCAAGGTCGACGAGAGTAGCATGTGGCTTCTTTGATCAAGGTTGAAGCTAGAACAAAATGTCAACAGTATCACTTTTTTTCGCAGAGTGGGTTTAAGAGACGGTTGGCAAAGCCAATAACTTTTAAAAGCAACAAGCTACTCTGGCTAGTGTCTCGAGACCAATGGACAGACATTTAGCGATTTTTGGCACAAGCATTAAAAGGCATCACAGAAAGATCAAGTGAACTTAATATTTTTGCTATAATACTGAAATTTACTTGGAACATGAAATAGAGGGAGAGAGATGATGAAATATAATAATAGGTCTATATCAATATATTCCATCTATATCAATATATTCCACATGTTATAATAATAGGTCTATATCAATATATTCCACATGTTTTTTTTTTTTTCTTGGGGTCACTTTGATTATTCATCCAGTATTATTATGAATAGACTTAAATAGTGCAAGGAGTGAATGGGAAATGAACAGAGAAAACGAATATAAGAGAGCTATGCAAAGGAGTTTAATAGTTTGATGTGCTCATCCAAACACTTGTAAAAGCTCTCTATACATTCATGGATGTAGACGAAAGTCCAAGCAAATAGTATGAAATTGTTTCCTAGTTTCTATATTATTGCAATTATTTGCTTTTAGTTCATTTATCTGGCTACGGTTCTTGATCGATTGACTTTTCCCAACATTAATTTAGAAAAATGTTAAAAGAATATTGTCTTGTCAAAAAGCATGCTTCCAGTTGTCATTTTATGTTGGCGATTAGGGTAAGAAAAATGCACAAATGCATTAAAAAGTGTAAAGGAAATAAGAACATTCACTTTTTTAAAATGAAGGATAAGCAATAATATTTGGTTTAGAACTATTGAAAAAGGGAAGCATGCATTTGTTAATCTAAAGCCTAGAATCAACATAAATTTTCCAGCATAAGCGAAAGTTATTTGGTTAGCCTTTTTAGTAAAAAAATCCAGCAAGTCTTACAAATTTCAATATAAAAATACCATTTCCTACATGTCTTTTGCTGCAGAACATTTATAGATTATTTATTATGCCGTCCTACATAGATAACTGCATACCAAACTGAAATAAGATCCTCAAACATAAACCTGTGCATCTTACCAACTCCATTTTTTACAACACTTTTCATGAAAACAATCAAGTCTAAATTAAACAAATTTCAATGTGCTTAAACAACACGTGTTTGCCAAAATCATTATCTTAAGACTTAATAACCAAATAAGGCAACAAGAACATTTTAAACACCATGAGTTTTCGTGTGCAAAGGCTTGCACGAAAAGACTTTGAAAATCAAGAGATGAGTTTGAAAGAGAGAAGTCAAAACTCAAATTTCTGCTCTCAAGTGAAAAAAACATACCACTTATAATGACGAAGAAGAACACAGGCTGCCACTCTTGATATAGAAAGTACAGTAGATACTCTACTTATATCTTCATCCTGGTGCTGGCGTATATCGGCAATATTTAGGATTGTATAATTTTGCTGAAATTTTAAAATAAGAATATGTCAAATACATTGAAACGGATTAAAAAATGAGTTTTTTTCTCTTATTTTTATTCATAATAGCTTTGTCACTAATCACTCGAGCTGAGTGACAATCTGTAGCAAAAAGCACTAAAAGAAAAGTTCAACTAGACATCATTGGTGATGATCATCATCAAGAAGAAGATTCAATGCATATGCCATAACTCATACGGGTAAGAAACCATTGCACATCCTCACAAATCACAAGGTCCACTATGATCTCATATTAAAGTTTTAAAACTCTTATAAACTAGCAAGGTGACATGAGCTTATGTTGCTTCATCTTTTTCTAGAACAAAGCAAATAAAATAAAATAAAACAAAACGAAACGAGGCCCAGTGGCCTCATGTAAGAGATCAATTTGCACACTCTAAGAAGAAATTTGGAAGAATCAAGTGATCAACGCACTCCCAAACCCTAAAAAAATGGTTCATAAAATAAAGCATTCATAAGTAAATCAGTCCAAATATTGAAAACATGGAATTTGCACCAAATTTACAAGATGAAATTTGCTTGAAGCTAGTCATAGGAAGTAGGCCATTACCAAGGGAGGACATGGAAATCAGCAACCCTTAAAATTCAGATTTTTTATGATCTTTCTCGTTTTGTAAGACTTGTCTTGTAAATTTATTTTCTCTGTATTCATCCAAAGTCCATTGTCTCTTGGATTCTTTCCAAGTGCTTCTATCTGCACAAGGATACAAGCTACTGATTCTTTACAGACTCTGATGCCTGCTATAAAGACCAAAATAAACTTGCTGACCAAGATCAGAACCACTCATGGAAATCAAACCGATGCTAGTTACACTTAAGCGTCCAATAAAATGTACCTTAAGGTCCTTAACAGGTCCAAGTGTCCTAAAAAATCTAACCAAGAAAAACAATAGACTGACATACTAATTGTCAAGAAAACAACACTATCCTTAATATAAATTTAATCAGAAACACCTATTATTGATATGACAATGTGAAGTTCAAAAGTAAACTTCAGCTGACTATCATAATAAAAAGTATTCATTTAACACTTGCAGGCAACACATTAACACGGGAATGAATAATACTAACAAGCCCTAGCATTGCCAAAAAAAATTACCACCCCACTTTAGCTACAGTAATGGGTTATCTAAAAGCAGATATATATATATATATATATATCATCATCATCATCACTGAATGTCTTTCAGACATTTGATTATCTATTCCACCAAACCCAGCTAAAACAATATAAATCTACTTCTTTATTATGCCGCATTACAAATCCCGTATAACAAGCTCTATTTCTCAAAACCCAGCCCCAAATCCAAACCAATCCGTCAAAAAAAAACAAATTAAACCGGTAAACAAGCACGAAGCCTCCCAACACTCAAAAAAGGAACATCCATAACCATCTTTTCATCTCCTCACCTGCTGGCGATGCGAGGTGATGTCCTCAGAGTCCTCCGAGTCGTGGTCCACGAAATCGTAATCGGCATCGCCATCCTCGCTGCCCATCGGTGTCCCTCCGCTATAGAAATCCTCATCCAACGACTCCACATCATAGGCATCATGCATGTCGTCCTCAGAATCCATCGTTCCCCAGTTGCGAACCCTAGACACCCCAGACAAAAAGTGAAACTCTAGGAACCCCCGGGATAACCTATCAGACTGGAATTTAAAGTGTGTTGCGGGTAGATCAGGCAAAATCCCGCAGCATGATTCGATCAAGCAAGCGAAGCATAAGATATCGAATCTAGAGAAAAGGTGTTAGATGGGAAAGTAGAGCGAGCGAGCGAGCGAGCGAACTAGGGCGATGAACTTTTAACTCAATGGAGGAATCTCGGCATTATTTTATTCGTCATTTCTACGGATGGGAAAGGTAACAGCCAACTCTTCTATGGTGAGTGAAATGAAAAGTTGCAAAGCAATTCAGGCGATCTGTCGAATAATTTTAAGCCCAAATTCTAAAGTTAGCTGTTTGCTCAAAAAGCATTATTTAAAATATTTCGGAGATTTAAAATATTATAAAAAAAATTATAAGCCTTATTTTTATTTTTATTTTTATTTAATTAAAATAATATATTTGAATATAGATAAGGTATTATGTCCGAATCGGTAGCGACGACCTACTACCTGCAATTATTGTCGACGACCAACGGCGACGGCCATGGTAGGCGAAGAAGTTGACGGCGGGCAACGGCAGGCAATGGTGGTGGGCAGTGGCGGGGGCAGTGTACGACAGGCTTTAGTGGTGGTAGTGGTGGTGGTGGTGGAACGGCATAGTAGATGACAGTGGGTGGTGTACGGTGGTGATGGGAAGCAATGGATGGTGGACAACAGAGTGGGATGGTGGTGGGGTGGTGGCGGGTGGCGGACTGTGGACGTCAGCAGACGTGGTGGCAAGTGGCAAGTGGCGTGTGGTGGGTGGCGTGTGGTGGGTGACGGGTGATAGCGACGGATCATGGCATTGGATGGTGGTGTGGCGGCGGCGGATCGCGGGCATTAACAACGACGGTGGCGAAGCGATGCCAGTGATGGGTGGTAGTCGCTGTATGGCTTATGGTGGTTGCTAATGGCAGTTGGTGGCAGTGGTGAATGGTGTATGAAAATCGGTTGGCACCGGCAGACTACATTCGAATGCAAGAGGTGGTTGGTCGTGTTGGAAGATGGTGGCAGGCGATGGAGATAGATGACAGGTGAGGTCGGCAGACAATGGGTGGTGGGCTACAGGCGACGAGCGATCGATCGTGGATGATGTGCGACGTGCGACGAGCGATAGGTCGTGGATGATGTGCGACGTGCGACGAGCGACGGGTAACGAAAGAGTGGATGGTTGCAGACGGCGATGGCGAGCGGTTGTAGGCATCAATTTTTTTATTTCACATATTTGGGGCATCCATTCAGCATGTGGGACTATTCTACTCTTTTGTAGTATCCCATAGCCTAATGACACTCAGCTTGACTCCCAAACGCGTGTCTTGGGCAGTAGGTTGGAGTATTGCCTGAGCTCACCCCCTCCCTGACCCTAGCACATCTGTGTTAGGCTTATCCCATGCGAAAAGACAGTAAACACGACAAACACGTGGCCGCTGGCTGACGCAACCATGCCAGCGTCGTGACTCACCCACGCCTAGTAGCTTGGCACCTCCATGCCAGAAGACCAGCGAGCCACTTTAAGCACAATGGAGGCTCGTGCACCTGCTTGTTGTGTGCCTGTATACCCACACCAGATTTTTTTTCGCTTTGATTTTGGTTGGACCCCATGTCCGATTAAGCCACTTAGGTCTCTAATTATCATATTTGTGGCAAAGGAAAAAGTCGCTATGGAAAGGATTGAGACACTCACCTAAATTGCCAACCAATGGGATGTCTTGTTCATGACACTTGTTGATGTAAGCATGCCACACGGAGGGGAGACTAAGTAATAGGTGTTCTCCTTCATACCCTTTAGGATTTTTCAACCATTAGAAGTTGGGTGTTGGGGGGGTGTGGGGGTGCACGGAAGAGAGGGGATTAGTGAGAAATTATGGAGTGACAGTTTAGTGAGAGCTTGAGAAAGCCTTGGAGAGTTCTCTTAGAGATTCCTTGTTAGGTAAAATTCTTTCCTTGAATTTGATCTTCTTGCTTCACTTCTCTCGTCAACATCTTTCTTTTCTACTTCATTTTCTCTTAGGGTGAGTTTGAAAATGCTTCTTGAAGAGTATCCTTTGAGAAAGCAAGCTTCATCTTCATTCATGCCTGAGAGGAGCATGAATAAGCAAAGAGAACGTGTCTCCAACTATCATGAAGGTGAAATTTCTGTAATACTTTGGATTTTATTTTTCTTACCCAACCTTTGAAGTTTTGTGTTAGAGGAATAATCCTAGACTAATGTTAGCATAAACTCCTTAGGTTAGGAAGCTTTTTTCTTTGTTTCTCTATATTCCATGTGTTTTCAACCACAACCCTAGCCCTTAATCTATGATAGTCGGTATTGTAGTAATCTCACAATTGCCTTTGGCGGGTTCGGTTCAGCCATTTTTTGATGGAAATGGTGAAGCCTTTTTAAACCTAGAGAATAAAGTTCTCTTTGATCCTTCATTCCCTAGATGATGACATATCCCTCAATGAAGAAGCTCTTCATTTTATGAAGAATTTTTTTTCGTGAAAAATTCTTCACAATTTTGCCAAGCAAATGGAAGTGGGGTTTTATTACCTTGTGTAATAAAAGGTTGGTACACTTCACCAAATTGACCCTAGGACCTAAGAGAGATTGCTAGGAAATGCTTGATTTGCCCTCGAATGTAATTATGTCCAATCTTTGCATGTCTTCGTCAGTATTTTCATGTGCATTTGATGTGTGATTTATAGCACAAGATGTCTCTTTTAAAATGATGCATGTAAAAAATGGAATATTTATGTGCTAGCAGTATGATATTCAAAATATGCATGAAATTACATATATTTTGCATGTGATTGAGTATTAAATTGCATGTGCAAATAATACAAAATTTTTGACATGTCAATTTCAAAATATGCATGAAGATACGTAATTTGCATGTGTGTGATTTGATATTAAAAGTGCATGTAACAAAATATATTTTAACATGTGAATTTCCAACCTTAGTGTGTAAAAGCATATTTAGCCTACTGCCTATGCTTTCATATGTGTGAAAATCACTTTGGATTAATGCTTATGTTGTTGAATTCATAATGCATGAAATTTGTATTTTTCCATGTTTGTGCTTGTTGACATCTAGCATGTATAGGAGTCATGGGAAATGTGTGCATATTACATCTTGTAGTGCTTCGGATTTTCATTTGCACATACTTGTTTGCATGAATCTTAGGTGAGGTGTAATCTCTCCTGGTGGCATTTACCCGATGCAATCAAACTTAATATCATTTATATATGTTATATCATACAGTGCAACATGTGCTTGTCATTTGCATAAGCATTCGGGTTGCCTATATGGGTAAGTGTAATCTCCCCTAGAGTGTCCTGTACGAGATGCACCCAAATTATTTTGTATATAAAAGTGGCATTGTTGACATCACTTTTGTGAGGATATTCTCTCTCTCTATAGAAACTTAGGATTTAGCCTTAGGGATTCCTAGTGACCTTCTTAGATAACCAAAGATTGAAATCACCCATATAGACTCTTAACCAATCCAACACTCACTTTGGTTTCCTTGAGGTTAAGCCTAAATCTTCAACACTTGGTTGAGATGATTGTGGTACTAGCCCAGTGGAAGCCCAAGTTGACTTCCTATAAGTGGAAGATGCTCAAGGTTACCCATGGAACTCAAAATCCTAGAAATTACCCTAAAACCCCATTGAATACCCTTGGGATTCTCATTGGCATTTGAAAGGCAAGTCAGATAGGAGGCTAGGCCTAAGATAATGAGGGATTGTTACCACATTATCCAAAAAGGCCCTGGAAATCCCAGAACACCAAAATTCATAAGAGGAGGGGTGATTCACCAAGGTCAACCCTTTGTCTTACCTAAAGCTTTTCCAACACCAATTAACCCCAAAATTGAAACCTAAACACATTGACTCAGTTCTAATAAATTGAAATCACCAAGAGTCACCAAAATTTAATTGGGCCCAAGTCAACTTGAGTTAATTATTAAATAATTGAGCCCATCAAAATAAAACCTAACTTGATTCAAGGTGATTAAGACCTAAAACCACTTTGGAATCAAAGCTGCATTAAGGAGGGAGCCTTCATAATTAACTTAACTATTTAATTAGGCTAATTATAAGGGCCCATTAAACATAATATTTTGGGCTAAACTTAATGACATTTAGTATAAGCTTAACAATAAAATCTCAAGCATAAGCTTAAGCCCAACCCATCATGAGAGGCCTTAACCTAAACCCTAAGGCTCATGACTTGATCCCACACAAGTTGACCTTAATGACCCACCATGACAGATGGGTGACACAAAAGAATAAAATAAACTAAATTGAACTAATCTAAACACCAAAAGGCAAAGAATCACCTCTTAAACGGGACTGGTTTAGCGCTTAGGCGCCTACCTCTCGGGTTAGTCAGCTCTTAAGCGTGAGGTCGTGGCGCTTAGGCGCTAGTGCACAAATTTTGATATTTTTTATTGTAAGTAAAATGTACTTAGCCTAAGTCAACCACCCCAAAATGGTCTTATAAATCCTTAATAACTATTTTCTTCCCCTTCAACTCTTCTCTTCCTCAAGATTAACTAATATTAACTAATTTGATTCAACACAAAATTTCACACAAACAAACACTTATATTAATTCACAAATAATTACAAATATTTGCAATACATAATTTCTCAATCTAAAGAGTCTTGGATGAGATAATTCCTAAACATAAACACTAAACAAACTAAGCATTAAAAACACATAAAATAAACTTAACACTAATAAACAAACACCTAACACAAACAAACACTAAACAAAGAACTTAATTTCACTCTCCTTTTGGTGGAATGAATCCTGGTCTATCATTAGTCTCTCCTTGGGCATTTGGAATATAAATCTGATAGAATGGATGATGTTGAAGAACTCTGGTTGAGTCTTCTTCAATCTATTTATTTTTCAAATACATAACCTTGTTCGCTTCTTTAATAAAATTGGTGTGGTTAAATTGCATCTTAAGTTGTCATCCAATATGCTCCAAATGTGCGTTAACTTCCATCACCTTTGCTTCAATTGAAGCCATGTTAGCCCCAATTTTTGTAATTTTCTTCGTTATTCCTTCTATACTAACGACTAGAAAACTGTTGTATAACTCTTGTGTACTTTGACTAATGAACTTCATCTTCATAGCTTCCTCCTTCAAATCACTCTCCCAAGATGACATCTTTCATTGATCTCTCACTCTTCACATAGACTTTATGGATAAAATTGAAGTGGGGTGAAAATTCTCTTCATTCCC